TTAGGCCCTGAGGCCTTTGGCCTTCCTCAGCGGTTCCCGCTCTTCTGTGTGTAAGACTCTCCCGGAGCCAGTCAGACTGCTGCTGGGCCCGCCATGGGCTCTGGCTCAGTGTGGAGTCACGCGGGAGAACAGGCCTTCTGGAGCCTCGGTGGCACCTGTGCTGCCAGCCAGGAGGGCACTTGAGCCACAGCTGTGCGTCCTTCACTGCCCGACAGCAGGCGCTCAAGAGCCACCGGTCCCTGTCCTCAGGAGCGCTGGCAGACGCAGGTGCTGAGTTCAGGGTGGTCACTGGGTCAGGGACCCTGGGAGAACTGAGCAGGACCCACTCTGGCCAGGGAGGGGTCAGGAAAGTTTCCTGGAGGAGGAGGTCCCACAAGGGTCACCCACAGGTGTTCATTGACATGATAAAATGTCCCCAGCCCTTTGCTGAGAAGGGAAAAGCCAAGATGGAGCAGCATAGAGCCGAGGTGACAACTGGCCTCACCTCTCGCTCTGTGTGGTGTGGGCGTGGTGGCCTGTGGGGTCACCAGGCGCTGATGGTTCATCTTTGGTGACAGGAATTGGAGTCACAGCCTTTTGACCTTCATCATAGACTTAAGGGACTGCTGTGGAAGTCCACGCAGCCAGGATGTGACCAAATGGCAGGCTCTTTCTTTGGGGAGGGTGGTGGGTGACCAGGGCGTCCTTACCTGTCTGGGAGTCGTCACTCCTGGCTTCCAGCAGGACCGGCCCTCACCAGGGTCACCTCTGAGAGTGCGTTGGAGGCTTTGGTCTGGAGAGGTCTGGCTCAGGCTTCATCCTCAGCACATTCCTGGCCCCGGGGCCATCCCATCTCCCGTTACCTGTTACCTGGGAGGTTCTCCCAGACCAGTGGAGCTTGCCTCATGATCACTGGTGATCCCAGGAGCACGGACATCCTCTGCACCCGCCCTTGCTGATCACTGGCCTACATCATCTCATTCCATCCTCAGAGCCACCATTTGGCATGGATGGTCCTGAGTTCCCAGTCTCTGTCCCTGAGGACCTGGGTCACCTGGGGCAAGTTGCTTCACATCTCTGTGCTCCAGTTTTCTGGTCTTGAATTGGGGAGAGCTGTGGCTTCACTGCCCGCTGTTCGGAGGCTCAGCGTGTCCACGGTCCTCACAGGGCACTCGGGTGCTGCGTGGAACTCCCCAGTAGATGGTAGCTAATGTGGTGCCTTCCAGGAGGACAAAGCCAAGGCGGGGTGGTAGTCCTCTGCTCCCGCTCTACTAGTGGCAGCTGCCTGTCTGTAAAGCCCAGGTTCCCAGATGCTGAAGGGTGGGACCCTCAGGACTGTGGCTGTCACAGCAGGTGTGACAATCGCCCTGTCTCATGCAGGTGGAATTCTGCAAGTCCTTTGGGGACCCAACAAAGCCCGAGCCTGGAGCAAACATGCCCAGAGACCAAGGCAGCCTGAGCAGCCCTCACAAGGCTCTGTCCCCCCGGAAATTAAGAAGGTATGCAGGTGACCGCGCCAGCACCGGGCCTGTGTGGGCAGGTGGTGGCTGTGGAGGGGTCTGCAGTTCCATCTGCCCTCCCCCTCCCATGTGGCCATCATCCTCTGCCTCTGATTTTAGGATGACAAGAAGAAAAAGGCCCCACGTGAACTGGAGCAGGTGAGTCTGTCCTGTTGACCGAGAGTGGGGGCAGCCGGTTGGAGGGGTGCAGGCTGGTCCAGAAAGCAGAGCCCACACCTCGAGTGTCCTGCTGTGTCCCTGTGGACTCGGGGTCCACCAGAGATGGGGAGGATGCTCGCCCTGCTGGGAGTTTGGAGAGCTAAACCCCACTGAGTCCCCTCTGCCTCTTCTCCTGTGTCCCTGCTGCCTGCCTCCAGTGCCCCCAGCTGAAGGAAGACACCGAGTTCCAGAAGTTCCTTTCAGTTCACCAGAAGCGGACACAGGTGGCCACTTGGGCAAATGGTGCCCTGGACACTGAGCCCCCAGAAGGGAAGAGCAAGCCGGCCAGTGACTACCTGAACTTTGACTCTGATTCTGGGCAGGAGAATGAGGAGGAGGCCGCAAGGAGAAGCTGGTAGGTGAGGCTTGGGCGCTGTGCCTATGCACCTGTGTCCCTCAGCTGCAGCTCTGTGGCCCACCAATGCCGCAGTCTGGCTGGGCACAAAATCACAAGCTGCTCAAACAGGAACAAACTTTATTTTTGAAACTCCCGCCAGTGCCCTATATGCTCCCCGGGAAATATGCCAACCCACACACACAGCGTTCTCCTGGACACACACTCCAACAGGAAAGCCCTCCTCCGGAATTCCCTCCTACCGCACTTCCCCAACCAATGGGAACTCTCCAGGAGTCCCCTAGCAGGCCCAGGTGGACAGCAGGGGTCTAATATCCATTTGAATGCAGACCTTAACATAATCATATCATCTCAATGGCTTGCTG